GTGTAATTACTAAGTCTAATAACCTGCTTAAGTGGTTAGTCACAGTATTCAGTTGCTGGCAATTGAGCAGATCCAAATAATTGCATATATCTTTTGTATTTGGATCAAGCATCCTCTTCTCAACAAAGCGAGGAGGATTGAAGTCTCCAAAGAATATAGAATTACCATCATTCAAGAGGTCCAGCTGTTCGGGAGCATCAAAGAAAGATTCATACTCCACAATGCTTATTCCATCAGGTATACACAAAACAACTACAAAAATGACTTAAAGCCTACATTACACTTCACTACTAGTCGACTACGTAACCGTACTGTGTGAAGATACACGCATGCACCGAGTAGTACTTGAGCTAGGTTGTTTCAGCTACTGTTAGTGATAAATTATGTTTCAGTTTTTAAAAGATTCCTTTAGTTCCACTTTTCTAAGGATTTAATGCACCACAACGAAAAACGGCTGTGCAGCTCAGACAATTTCTTGTGAGTGAACCGTTACAGGTGTATTGTATTTATGTATATCTTTGGTTTTCTTTTTATATTGAGAGAGTCTTGCAACAGCTCGGTACATGATATTCACCGCGGAATTCAACAGCTTCAATATTGAGTTAAAATTAAAATCATATTATTTGGCATATTATTGAAACATTTGTTTTTGATATATCCTCCTTCTCGTGCATATTTTTGAAGTATTCAAAACCTACACTTCTAAAATCAGACCTTGATAGGTTTTGAGTGCTTCTGGAAGGAGGTTACAAAAGAAGCACTGGATTTCGTAGTGGAACCAATTCAGATTTGGGAAGGACTGAATCAAAATTATGTATGTACTCGTTATTCACGCTACTTTTGATACATTATTTTATTATTTTTATTTGGTTTGTTAGTTTTTGTTGTTGTTTGAGAGTCCATATGAAAGATAAAAGAGCAAATAAAAAGTGCAAGAAGGCAATACTAAAAGGGTGTTTCAGTTTAGCTTAATATAGTAGCTGCTCGAGGCTCGAAACACACTAGCTTGCTGGAGAAGACGGAAGACATTAACTAAAAATCATCCAAATCAGGCATTTGATACTAACGGCAAACATGCTGTAACCTTGGCTATTTTTTTATTTGTTATCGGGCATAATTTTGTTTTGGAACAAGCACATCGCATCTGCAGTTGTTTGAATTACGCAAGTCGTGTGTTTTGCGTTGCGACCGAGAATTATCCTGCGAAACCGGGACTCGGTAAAATGGGCCGAGTAACTACCGGAAACAAACCGAGTACTCAGTGCATCTCTTCATGATTTTTAGCGGTTACGAATCAAAGTAAATAGGTAATCCGTGTACGGAGTTCAGCTTTCCTGGCTAACGGAATTTGCGCTTTACGCAAACTGACCTTTGCACAACAATCCTTTTTTTTTCGAAAATAAAATTTCAACAAAATTTGCAATTCTACCTGCATTAGCGTACATGAAGCTCATGAATCTGAAAAATCTGCTTAAAATAACTACATCCAGCTAGAGTATACGTCGTAGAACTTTGTTAAGTACCTTGTCACATACCCTATTGAAGTACATTCAGTGATTGTCCCATTTCTCGTACCTTCTAGATTTTTTATTGCTGACTGCAGAAAATCCTATAGGCATGATCTATGACATTTAATGCAGAGGTAATACCGGAATCATTTATTTGATACAGTTAGTCTGCGACAGGGAGATGGGGATTTTGAATTCTATTGAAAGTGTAGATATGTTGTTTTTGCCCCCATTTTTACAAGTAGGCCTAATTCCACTTTTATAAAACACCCCGTATAAAACTTCAATGTTGGCTATGTGCATCTCTCCGGTAAATTGTCTTAGAAAGACCACTTTGAGAAGGAAATGGAAGTAATGTTGAACGGTCTAGGTTTGTCTTGATAATTAAAGGACCATCTGCAGATCCAAGATTACTTCAAAGCAAAATCTGATTAATATGATAACGTTAATTACTAGTTATACACCAACAAAAGCTTCTACCGAGATAGACAATACAAACTATCTCTGTTCAGAGGGCGGAAGAATTGCACTAAATCTAATATTCTAATATAGAGGAAGAAGTTAGTATAGCATTGATCTCTATAATGAAGAAGTTCTACAAAACATTAAAAATAACACAGCCAAACAGCCAATTTAGTGCCGCTGACGTAAGAACTAAATTTGAGTATTTTTGGTTGATGCGTTGACTTCAGGAATGTATCTCCTTTTAAAGCTACTCTAGTTTTTCATTATTGGCCTTTTATAGAATAGAACGAGGTATTTCCATCTTCTATAGATTTCATGCTATCTTCTCAATCACTCAAGTTTTTCCATTAGAAAAAGTATATGAATTTGGGTCATCTATTCATATTACTTACATATGAGATATCTATATACATATAAAGGCTGTTTCAAATTCGACCCTCACCATTGGGATCTCGGAAACTGTAAGAGATCCGAACTGGCTTAAGAATCGGCCAAGTTGCATATTTAGGTAAATTACAAAATGCTGCTTAGAACGTTTCAGAATTCAAAATACTCCCGGAAAGAGACGGCAAAGACGGATTTTCCGAAAATCATTTTAAATTTTTCCTAACTTTATTTGTAAGTGGGATTTCAAAATAAATTGCACATTAATATTACCTCTTCTTGTCCTTTACACGATGGCATAATCAGAATGTCAATATGGCGTTTCGACTCTTGTCTTCCACCATCAGATTTATTTTTTCTACTGGACGCCATATTGGATTTTCACACATATGAATAGAGTTTTCAATCTGATTCAAGAAATGTAAATACGTCATACATTGACATTGCCAAAAAAGAAGAATTTCCTAGGTATATATCAGTCACTTGGTTCGCATGCCAGACTTATCCCTCAATCACTTTTACCTTTTTCTGACTCCATTTGAGACGAGATTTCAAAATAAATTGCATGTTGTTAATGTGGAACGAATGAATGAATCGTGAAATTAGAGGCATTCGGGCCACCATAAGGAGCCACCGCCTAAATGGGCCCTTATGCACCTCTACATTTCTTAGATCACTGGCCTCGATTTTTTACCGAAGTTGAGTATGGCCTTGAGCCAGGCTCCTGACATCCTGAGGGTCCAAAGTAAATGGACCCTAGTATAGTCTGCCTATAGAAGCTCAGAGCTTCACAGCGACACAGAACGTGCGCCGAGGTCTCCTTCTCTACCTCGTACCGCTCACACAAGGGATCCTCAGCCCCCCCCATCACGTGCAGGTGGCGCCTTAATGTGTTATGGTCAGACCACAGTCCCACCAGCAGCATTAGTTGGCTCTATCTAGAGATAAGCAGAAACGTCCATCCCTAGCACTGGGCCCTTCTATGAGTTCGCGTGCCTGGCGGAGATGTCTGGAGATACTTGTCCGTTTCTGAGAGTGTTGTCTTTCAATCCACGTCTCCATTTTCCTCCTAACTCAATGCGCGGGCACTCTTAAAGCTGGCTCAGGACCAACGAGCTTGCTGGCCGATCTGTCTTCGCCAGAGCATCCTCCGTCTCATTGCCCCTTATCCCAGAGTGTCCCGATACCCACATTAACGATTCCGGATGCCTCGCCGCGCGGCAATCCGGACCTCCGCAATACAAGACTCGAAGTAATCTTACAGCCACTTAGTGCCTCCATTGCAGCCTAGCTATCGGATGAGATTGTTATTCTTCTCCTAGGCCCACCCTCCTCCAGAATGCGAGATACATAGTGGTGTATCCACCGAGAGACAGAGATAGCCTAGTTCTAGGCCCAGAGACCCCAGCGCCTGAGCCCTGTTCGGTGAACCGAGCCGTCCGTGTACCAGACCTGCCCGGTAACTCCGGGGAGTCTCTAGTTACCGACATCCCACTCCCCCCTCGTTTGATACTCCACATTAATCTTGCGGTAGAAGCGATATAGGGGAAATACGGTCACCCCTGCTTAGAAGGGCGGGATCCTCCCTTTGCAATTCGACTAAGATGGCAGTATGTCCCTTGACAGGATTCAAGAAGGCCCAGCCACCAGATCCAACGGTGGGAAATCCAACAGAGCTTCCGTTGCACTCAATCGCGTTGTTGGGTTTAAGCCCCCAACTTACACCGGCAATACGTCTACAGGCCCACAGTAGATGTCTTATGGGGATTCGGTCTCAAAACTTCCAAAATCCGCCACCAGAGGCGCTGGCGTCGCGCGCCATTGACAGGTGTTGGACGGAATCTGTAATCGAAATTCATGAGTTGGGGGATTCCGCCGCTAGATGGCGCCTGTCAAACCAAACGGAATCTGTGTGTCATTGGACACCTGTCATGCGTCATTGGGCATCTCACGCATAGATGGCGTTACACAACGGAATCTATGTGTCATTGGACAGCTGCCATTGATGGGTTGGGCATCTCGCGCATAGATGGCGCCGATGTCGCACCTGTCTGGTGTTGGCGTGGATTACGGGGGGCAAACGTGTATACAGGGGTGCATCGAAAAATAGCGGATCGATGGACCGACGGTATATCGTTAAATCGTATATAGCAAGGCGTGACCTAAATAGCGTGGTGGGCTCCTCTGGTCGGTCGGTCGGTCGGTCAGAATGTCTCATAACCTGTATACGATGTACTGTTATTATTATACAGGATGATACCGTTCAAAATGAAACTTTATGTAGTAGAATGATGGTGGTGGGGGGGTGGGGAGTCGAAGGAACCGACTGTTTTTTTTTTGTTTGACAACAGGCTGAATACGAAATAAACATAGCTTTCTGAAAAATGTATTTTTTAATGATATACAGATACAAGTTTAGATAACAGAGTTTTTAGTTGATGTAACAAATCCTCGCTGGGGCATGGTACTCCAAATAGAGTCCAATGAAATGGTCCGGTCGCAACAACTTTCTAGTCTAGTCTAGTTTCCATATAAACATATCATGTGCAATATATAATCGGTAATTTGAAAACTCTGGAGCAATGGCTAAAAACATAAAATCTGGAATAATATCACACAAATTTTTGAGGATCGGCTGCTTACGAGTTGTAGATCTTATAGTTGTTGTTGTTTTTGGTATTGCTGATGCGGTGGTAGACTTTGGGATTGAATCATATTTGTTTTTTCTTCCATATAGATATTGTACTGCATTTATATCATCAACATCTAGACCACGAATCTCATGCTGATAGAAGGCAAACATAATAGCATTCGGAGAAGCACTATGTGCTATGCCGAGGGCATGTCCAATTTCATGAACCAACACCATAAGAAAACTAGTTTGATTTTTGGGTATATTAGGATTATTTCCAAAATACCAGCGTTCATTTATATCTAAATGGATTTCTCTACAGGTGCCGCTAGAGTCAGGAAAGTATGCATGTCCTAAAACGCCGCCAGCATCATCTAATGTCAATGGACATTCATCATTACCCATACAGTTTGCGCTAAAATAATGAGTCTTGCTAACCATGGTTATAGTAATATCAGGAGGATATAGAGTGGGATTGGTAACCATTGTAAATGTTAAGTTTGAAACATTTTGCCACATCTGAAAAGCCATTTCTGCATCTTTTTGGGCCGCAGGTGTGTTTCGAGGGAAATACCATTTCAGGTCATGTTTCCGAAATGGAAAACTTGCTCTAAATTCAGCATCACTGTATTGACAAC